TTCTGATGGGTGTAAGGTGAAATCTCAGGGTCGTTTTGATTTGCATTTCCCTAATGGCTAATGAGGTTGAGCATTTCTTTAAGTGTTTCTCTGCCATTCGATGTTCCTCTTTCGAGAATTCTCTGTTTAGCTCTGTTCCCCATTTTTTAAGTGGATTACTTGGTTTGTTGCTTTTCTGCTTCTTTAGTTCTTTATATATACTGGATATTAGCCCTCTGTCAGATAAAGGGTTGGTGAAGATTCTTTCCCAATCTGTAGGCTGTCTATTTGTTTTGATGACAGTGTCTTTTGCTTTACAGAAGCTTTTCAGTTTCATGAGGTCCCATTTATTGATTGTTGCTCTTAGAGCCTGTGCTGTTGGTGTTCTGTTCAGGAAGTTGTCTCCTGTGCCAATGAGTTCTAGGCTGTTTCCCACTTTTTTTTCCAACTGATTTAGAGTATCTGGTTTTATGTTGAGGTCCTTGATCCACTTGGACTTTAGTTTTGTGCAGGGTGATAAATATGGATCTATTTTCATTTTTCTGCATGTAGACATCCAGTTGGTCCAGCACCATTTGTTGAAGATGCTGTCTTTTTTCCATTGAATGGATTTGGCTTCTTTGTCAAATATTGAGTATTCATAGGTGTGTGGGTTTATTTCTGGGTCTTCTATGCGATTCCATTGATCCTCCTTTCTGTTTCTATGCCAATACCATGCAGTTTTTAAAGAGCAGATTTCTAAGGACTGATATAGGTGTATATTTTAATTAAAACAGCAACAGACATCATTGTTAAGATAACTCAATTTCTGGTTATTAAAAATAAAAGCATTTTACATATTTACAAATGTAAATAATTCCAGGAAAATATAATGACATAGCTTTAAAGTTATTGATTCAGATTGTGTCTTACTACTGTGACATGATGAATATCGGCCAGTTACTATAAAAGTAATATCTAGTACCTGCATGCTTTTTAAGACCCTGCGATTGTATCATGTTTTTTTTTTCTTTGCTTCTATTTCTTTCTCCTTCTCTTTGCTTTTTAATTTTTATTTCTGAAACAGAATTTCATGTCGCCCAGGCTGACCTCTGGAGCTCACTGTGTAAGCTTTTGAGTCTTTTATTTCTGTCTTCCTAATTCTGAGGTTACAGGCATGTGCTGCCAGGCATGGTTTTTTTCAGTTCTAGGATACAACCCAGGGCTTCTTGCACATGAGGCAAGCACTCTGCAGAGAGAGCTAAGTTTATAGCCTGTGTCATGGCTTTTCAGTCAGCTTCATAAAAAGCTACAGTGAGGCTGGGCAAGGTGGAATATAACTTTAATCCCAGCAGTCTGAAGGCAGAGGCAGATAAATGGATCTCTATGAGTTTGAGCCCAGCCTGGTCTATATAAAGAGTACCAGGCTATCCCAGCTATGTGTATGCATCCTTTCAGAAGGAGACATGCATAGATAAACTTCAAGATTCCAGATGATAGAAGTCTAAAAGTATCCTGTTGTATAATTTATTCATTGTTTTCAACATTCTTTTGTAATTATGAGAACCCACAGCCATTCCTCTAAATAAACTTTCAGGAAGGGCTAAACCTCTGTGTCCATCCCTAAAAATGAGTATCAATCTGTTGTAATCAACCCTAAGGTAGTATGTTGAGACAGAATTCCATATCAACCTAACAAGGGTTGATACCAAGCAGGTATCCCAACAACCAAGCTGCCTCTTCATGGCCTCACAAGCAGCAGAACTGGAATACTTTGGAGACAAATAATCTATCTGCTAGACATCCCTTGGCTGAAGACCTGCCTTGCCTCATTTATAGAATGCTGTGTTGGGGTGAATAATCTGACATGATATTTGACATGTAGGGGCAGCTTGCATTTCATTTGGTATGTGGACAGCAAAAACTGTCACGTTTCCACTAGGAAGCAATTCTGAGAGTAGTCCAGGAAAACAGACAGTAAAAGGACACAAATATCTCATAGTGTTTATGTGGCTGTAGCAGCTACCCAGCAATGGTTTTATGAGTATCTATCCAGTAGAATGTAATCATCAAGGATCATAGCTCTCTTGTTTTTCTTAGAAACCCCAACAGGAATAATTTGTAGGACAACTCTCTCCCTACTTCTCTTCTTCTTTCTGTCCAGCCCCAACAATTTGTTTATTCATTCCAGGACTCCTTTCTATGCTCTGTGCCATTTTATTTACAGGGATGATTATCTTAGAAAGCCCTCTTCAGGGCATGGAGAGATGGCTTGGCACTTGTGAGCACCGGCTGCTCTCCCAGAGGACCTAGGTTTTGATTTCCAGAACTCACATAGTAACTCAGTTCACCTGTAACACCAGATCCAGAGTAACTGCACCCTCTTCTGACCTCCCTGGGTGCCAGTTGAACACATGGTACACATACCTACATGCAGGCAAAACAATCATGCACATAAAATAAACAAATAGAAGCAAACAAACAACCACAAAGAAGCGAAAACTCCCTCCTTGCTTAGTTAGCATTGTAGCCAGTTACCAGAAACACAGTTTATGCTGGCTGAGGGGACCATCCTTGATGCCAGGGGTGCCACTTTCAACATCTCTCTGAGTTATCTATCCCTCAGTAAGGACTCAGAAATCTGCCTTCTCAGTGGCAGACATGACTGTCAGACAAAGATTACCATTACGTAAGTTTGGGACAATTAAAAAATATTTAAAAACTTTTAACGCTAACACATATTACCTCTCATGCAGGTGTGACCAACCCTGAGCCACACACAGCTAAAGAACGCTATGAGCCTGGTTAACCACAAAATCATATACAACAACAAAATCAGAACCTAACTTAACTTGGAAGGTGATAACCTGGTCCTCAGCCATAAACTTTGTAGATTGACATGATGGTGGTATTGTTATGTATAAAGGTTGGACATATGTAGAGGTTATGTGTATAGCCATAACATGGGAACAGTAAATAACAGAAGGTAGAGTTGATTTAGGTGAATACCACTCTCCAAAGCACAAAAGCAACCCATGTCTATTTTTCTTTAGAAAACAGACAAAAGAGATTTGCCTGCCATCTCTGTTTGGGGCGTGGAGACTATGGCTTCAGGATGGCATAAAGAGGGTGAATAGGAGAGCATAATTATGTTCAATAATTATGGTGGCATTGTTTTAGGAAGCTGTGGAAACTGCAGGAGGTGGAGTCCCCTGGAGGAAATAGGTGAGCAAGAGAAGATCCTGAAAGGAGTTTATCATCCCTGGCCACTTGCTTCTGGGTCTATGTTTTCTGTCCCAACATGAAATGACTAGAGTTCTCATCCCCTGGCTTTTTCACTCGGATGGACTGAGTCCTTTGAAACCATTAATGTTTTCTCATTATCTGCTCCATGCAAAGGTGAACACTGTAATTTGAAACAGATAATACAGCAAGGTGTCTGTAGTTTCTGGAGGCTGCTTTAAGAAAACGGATATTCTGTTTTGTATCCTCATGATGGTTATGAGTATGATCTCACAATTCTTTCTTCACCATAAGCAATAAAACTCCAACTGTATTTTGAATAGAAAACCAAAAAAAGCCCTATTCTTTTGAGAATTCAAGTGACAACAAATTCAAAATAAAACTTAACAAGTGAATTACTGTCTGAATTGAAATACATGCATATGTAAATATGTCTCTAGAGTCCTGCTATTTTGGTCTGACTCAGAAGGTAGTTGAGAGGAAAATTTTAAGGTACTATAAGCCATTTGTTGTGATCTCTTTCTCTTGTTGCAAACTTATTTATTCTAGAAAAGTCTGTATAATGTTCTCTGGTGGCCTGTCTATAATTTAAAGAAATCCATAGAAGAGAGAGATATATTTTCAAAACAAAAATGAGATTGGACATGTGATCTTTTTGTTTCGTTAATTATTGTTTTAAGTGTGTGTGCAGGTCACACACACACACAAAACTACACAAGCAAGTGTATACATTTGTGCACAGATTCTGCAGAGGCTAGAAGAGGGCATTGGATTCCCTGGGCTGGAGTTGTGGGCAGCCGTGAGTCCCCCACCAGGGGTCACTGAACCCAGGTCCTCTGAATAAGAGCAGTACAGGCTCATAACCAGTGAGCCATTTTTCTACCCCATTTCTTTAGAGACAAGGGCTTGCTGTGTCTGTGAGGCCGGCTTTGAACTCAATCCTCTTGCCTCAGCCTCCTGAGTGCTAATGTTACATGCTTATGGTATCATGCACAGCGGATATGCTATCATGTGGAGGCTAATGACCATGATTAAATACCTTCCACTAAGTTTTCTGGTATTAAGAACACTCAGTATTTGTTACACTGAGGCACACATTTTTGACAAAGAGAAGAAGAGCTAAGTTCTTATATAGATTCAAAATTGCATCATTAAAAGTATAAATTGATGAAATACTGGTGAAATAGCTCAGAATATAAACGCTTTTAGCACTGAGCTTGACATATGAGTTCAATCCCAGGAGTCCACATAAAGAGAATGGACTCCCATAAGGTGATCTCTGACCTCCATAAGTGCCCCATCCCTCAAACACAAGCTAAATAAGCAAATGTAAAAAAAAAGTAAAAAAATAAAAAGATTAGGAAGCATTAACTGATTTAAATTCAATGATATGTTAACTTCAAAAGACAAAATAGGCATAAATAAGTTCTAACGAGGAAAATAAAATCAAGCAATAACATTTTTATTCTAATGTTCTCTATTTAAAAAGCCAAAAACTGAGACAGTAAACATAAAAATGCTGTTATATTTGTGGTGTGCTTTTCCCCATCAGGTGCTAATGGCAGAATCAGGCAGCTCAGGTGTCCAGAGTGAGCTAGCTAGCCACACAAAGGAAAAAGCATCTTTTTATAAATATACATCACACTAAGTCTCATCTTATATGGAGGTGGCAATCTTTCCTTAATTAATTTACCCAGACACTGGAACAGACTATGAGGGGACCATGGTATTTTCTAGCGCACTCTTGTCTTCCCAACCTGAGACATGAATTCACAGAAACATGCTGTAAGCTTACTCACCACAGGCCTGTGGACATCCCAGAATGCTCTCTCTTGACTATCTAGGATCTTCCTCTCAATTTTGTCTCTCTTCTTGTCCACTCTGTCAAAATGGTAACAATGAAGAGTTAGCAGAGGCAAGCATACCTACTACCTCTGCACAAAAGACCACAGCACTTGAACAAATCTTGCCAAAGACTCACAAGGACTCACTTAGCTTGTGCTTCTGCTTGCATAAAAATGAACTCCCATTTCCGGGCAAATGCTCTTTGCAGCCTGGCCAGGCTCTCCTGAAAGACATGGGACAGCTGAGGATATTCTAGTGTTTCGTTCCAAATTCCTAAAGTCTTATATATGCTCAGAAGCTGAATCAGCTGTGCTTTCTGAATTCAACTAATCACGGGCCTCATGGGCCTAGGTTAGGCTCTCACTCACTAAGTAGCTGACAATTACTTTGAACTTCTCATCCTCTTGTCTCTGTGAGGGGAGTATTGATAACTCCAGGCATGCCTAGTTTATATGGCGCTAGAAAACAGAGCTCTGTGTATGCGAGGCAAACACTCTACCAACTGAGCTACAGTCCTGGGCATTGACCAACATCACTCATCTCACAGAAAACACAATGTAGAGCACTGAATATTACTTTGTTTGAGAAAAGTACTGGAGACAAGTTCACTGGATCTTTCTGTCGCCACTTTAGGGAGAGACAGGAAAGCAATGCCTTCTTACCACTGATCCAATCAGTTTTTTCAGGTCCTGAAAATAGCTCTCAGTCCTTGGCAGCCCACTATCTGCTGCTGCACAGTACTCCAAACTAGTTATCACAACACAGCAATCATCTGAACAAATTACACTAGATTGTCCGTATCTGATGGTGGTGGCCAATCTGAAGGTTCTACTAAATTGGTCCCTAGGGTAAATGGTTTTCGATCCTCAGAGTTTAGACATTATCAATTTAGTATTTATCTAAAACCTTAACAGTTAAATTAGTCTAAAAGAAGAAGATGTGATTTTCTTTATACACTGAGTTTGTATGTTTAGAATTCTACTCTCCTTATTGTGGAGAAGAAAGAGGAAGCAGACAAAGAGGGGTTCACTAAACCAATGGGCTCTCTGCTCCAAGGAAGCAGACATCCAGTCCTTATGACTCATTGATGCAGAAAGAAAAGGAGCACCCACACATAGCAAGGGCCTGATTTCTGCTCATTTTATAGCATGTGGTGAGCCTCCTTGGTACTTACAGCTTCATAATCTGCTAGTTCTAGCCTTGCCTTGTTTTGCATTGTTCTCTTGCAGAGGTAAACAGCTGAAAGAAAAAATAACATCATTTCTTGGCTGTTCATTAACACCAGAACACTAAATACAGAAATAGCACTACATGTTAAGATACTTGTTACTTTCTCTCAAGTTTAATCTTCTATTGTTATCTTTTTTTAGACAAAAATAAATCATGTTTAAAAACACGAGGTTGACCAAAGACCGGGGGCGGAGCCAAGATGGCGACTAGCACACACAGTTTCCGAGCTGTGGAAGAGATAAAGTTCTGAGTTAATGAGTGGAAGAACTTCTGAAGCCAGGGAAACAACGGAGAGACTTTCTAAACAACAGGGAACATCGCAGGAGGTGAAAACCTTGGTCTCGGGTCACCTAGGGACTTGTTTGGGGAAGGTGAGAAACTATCCATGATCTCTCGGCACTCCCCTCCCCCAGACCTCCCTCCTCCTCAGCACAGCGGACTCGCCCGCCTTTCTCAGCACAGACCTAACTGCCTGGGGCCTGCAGCCACTGAGGCGGAGCCCCAAGCCCTTTATCTGAAAAGGCCAGCAGTACTGTGTCTCGGAGCCCCAGATTCACGCACGGTGGCTGCACCATCCTCCCAGGGCCCGAGTCTGCTAGACGCCATACTAGCTCCGCAGGAGCGCCATCACTGACGGTACGGCCCGCCCAATCCCACAGTGACAGAGAATACGCTATATACTCACCCAAACCAGACAGAAACGCCATACAAGCTAGACACACCAGGTGCTGGGCCTCCGAAGCTTGGAGAGCACAGTAAAGAGACCCCAGGATTTCCCAGAAAGCATCTGGACTAGCAACCCAGTCTCCAGTTACAGCGGGACTTTCTAACCTGGCGGCGGAGCAGCACTGAGCTGGCGGGGCACATCAGCCCTCCAGTTTAAGACTAACCAGGGCCAAACCAGAGAACAGAAAGGCTGGTTACCCCAATTCCTACTGACGTGACCACCCTGAAATCTCCAGCTGCAGCAAGACCTCATAACCTGGCAGTGACAGCAGCACGGAACTGGCAGAGCACATCAAAGAAGCAGGGCCAAACCAGAGAGCAGAGAGCCCAGATACGCCGATCTCTGCCAAGTGTCCTGCCTGTAAGTGAGTGCACCCTTGAGAATCTGCAGCTCCACTGATCCTGGGTCCTTCTAAAACAGAAGCCAGGCATCGAACCCCCTCCCACCCATATACCCACTTTGGGAAACAGAGGGGCACTTGGAACATTGAAGTTCCTGCTCTGTGGGTCTAATTGAGGAGTTAAGGCAGTTAATACCAGAAATTGCGCTGCGATCATCACTAGTGCCTGCGACATATACATTGCAGAGCCCCTCCCACACACTCAAGGGTTCAACATTAGCCATCACTCTGTCCCTCGAGACACACGCCCACACCCACTTACACACACACACACATATACACACGCACGCACGCTTGCATTTGCCTCTGTTTGCGCCTGCGTACTTTCCTCCCACAGGTACAGCTAGTCCTCAGCATACGCTAAGGACACGGGACCTCTCTCAACTTCCTGAAGAATTCTCCAGACTCGAGAGAGAGACAGTACCAGTCTGATCGGCAGAATCCAAAAACAAACAGGGAAGGTCTCAGATAAGCCAATGGCCAGGGGTAGGCGAAAGAACACTTCCAACATAAATCAGGACATCATGACTTCACCAGCAAACCCCAAAATCGATGGATACTCCAATTCATCAGAAGCACAGGAAAATGACCTTAAAGCCATGCTTGCTCAATTATTTGAGGCTCATAAGGAGGAAATGAACAAATCTTTCAAAGAGTTGGCCAGTCAATTGGAGGTAAAGAAAGAAGAAATAGGCAAAACCCTTAAAGAAACACAGGCAAACATAGCCAAACAAATAGAGGCACAAGTAGAGAAAAAATTAGTGGCATACAAAAAGGAAATGAACAAAGAAATAGAGTCCATCGTAGAGAGACAGGAATCCAAATTCAAACACATGAAAGAAATGGTGCAAGGCATGAAAACAGAATTAGAATCAATAAAGAAAACACAAAATGAGAAAACTCTTGAGCTGGAGAACTTGGAGAAAAGATCAGGAACCACAAAAGTAAGCATCACCAACAGAATACAAGAGATGGAAGAGAGAATCTCTGGAGCTGAAGACACACTTGCAGAAATTGATACTTCTCTCAAAGAAAAAGTAAAATCAGAAAAATTCCAATCACAAAATATCCAAGAAATCAAGGATGCTATGAAAAGACAAAATCTAAGAATAATAGGAATTGATGAAAAAGAAGACTCCAGGCTCCAAGGTCCAGAAAATATTTTCAAAAAAATCATAGAAGAAAATTTTCCCAACTTAAAGAAAGAGATGTCCATAAATATACAAGAGGCCTACAGAACACCAAATAGACTAGACCAGAAAAGAAACACATCACGTCACATCATAGTCAAAACACTAAATCTACAGAACAAAGAAAAGATATTAAAAGCAGCAAGGGAAAAAGGCCAAGTAACATATGAAGGTAGACCTATCAGAATCACACCAGACTTCTCATCAGAAACTATGAAAGCCAGAAGGGCCTGGGCAAGCATCATGGAGACTCTAAGAGATCACAAATGTCAACCCAGACTACTATACCCTGCAAAGCTTTCAATCAACATAGATGGAGAAAACAAAATATTCCATGACAAAACTAAATTTACGCAATATCTATACAGCAAAACAACCCTACAGAAGATACTAGAAGGAAAACTCCAATCCAACGAAAACGAATTCACCCAAGAAAACAGGGCATACAGATAATATCCCAACAAAAATGAAAAGAAAACAAGCAATGAAACGAGGTAAGATCATCGACTCCATTACAAAAGGAACTAACATGCATTGGTCAATATTATCTATCAATATTAATGGACTCAACTTACCAATAAAAAGACACAGGCTAACAGAATGGTTACGGAAACAGGACCCAACATTCTGTTGCATCCAAGAAACACACCTATGCAACAAAGATAAACACTACCTCAGAGTAAAGGGCTGGAAAAATGTTTTTCAAGCAAATGGTTCCAGAAAACAAGCTGGAGTAGCCATCCTAATATCTAATAAAATAGACTTTCAACCCAAGTTAATCAAAAAAGATAAGGAGGGCCACTATATTCTCATCAAAGGAAAAATCCAACAAGAGGACATCACAATTTTGAATATCTATGCCCCAAATACAAGAGCACCTACATTCGTAAATGAAACAATATTAAAGCTTAAATCATACATTGATCCTAATACCTTAATAGTGGGAGACTTCAACACCCCACTCTCATCAAGGGACAGATCAACCAGACAGACACCAAATAGGGAAATAAAAGCACTCACAGAATCCCTAAATCAAATGGACCTAATAGACGTCTACAGATCTTTTCACCCAAACTCAAAAGAGTACACCTTCTTTTCAGCACCACATGGAACCTTCTCCAAAATAGACCATATAGTTGGTCACAAAGCAAGCCTCAACAGATACAAAAGGATTGAAATAATCCCTTGTATACTATCTGACCACCATGGACTAAAGCTGGACATCAACAACAACAGAAACAACAAAAAGCCGACACGCACATGGAAACTGAACAACTTACTACTCAATGACAGCTGGGTCAAGGAAGAAATAAAGAAAGAAATTAAAGACTTTCTAGAATTCAATGAAAATGAAGGCACAACATACCCAAATTTATGGGACACATTGAAAGCAGTGCTCAGAGGAAAATTTATAGCACTAAGGGCCTACAAGAAGAAATCCGTAACATCACATACAAACAACTTAATGGCCCAACTGAAAAACCTAGAAAAAAAAGAAGCAGATACACCTAAGAGGAGCAGACAGCTGGAAATAATCAAACTAAGGGCAGAAATCAATCAATTAGAAACAAATAAAATTATCCAAAGAATCAATGAAACAAAAAGCTGGTTCTTTGAGAAAATCAACAAGATAGACAAACCCTTAGCCAAACTAACTAAAAAGCAGAGAGAAACTATACAAATCAGCAAAATCAGAAAGGAAAATGGGGACATAACTACAGACACTGAGGAAATCCAAACGATTATTAGGTCATACTACAAAAGCCTATATGGCACAAAATTTGAAAATCTAAATGAAATGGATAACTTTCTTGACAGATTCCATCTACCAAAATTAAGTCAAGATCAGATAGAAAGACTAAATAGTCCTATATCTCCCAAGGAAATTGAAGCAATCATTAACAGTCTCCCCTCCAAAAAAAGCCCTGGACCAGATGGCTTCAGCGCAGAATTCTACAAGACCTTCAAAGAAGTACTAACACCAATTCTCCTCAAACTATTCCATAAAATAGAAACAGAAGGAACACTACCAAATTCATTCTATGAAGCCACAGTCACTTTGATACCCAAACCACACAAAAATCCAACAAAAAAAGAGAACTTCAGACCTATCTCTCTTATGAACATTGATGCAAAAATACTCAATAAAATACTTGCAAACCGAATCCAAGAACACATCAAAGATATCATCCACCATGACCAAGTAGGCTTCATCCCAGGAATGCAAAGGTGGTTCAACATACGGAAATCCATCAATGTAATCCACCACATAAACAAAATGAAGGAGAAAAACCACATGATCATCTCCTTAGATGCTGAAAAAGCATTTGACAAAGTCCAACACCCATTTATGTTTAAAGTCTTGGAGAGATCAGGGATACAAGGCACATACCTAAAGATAGTAAAGGCAATATACAGCAAGCCTATAGCCAACATCAAACTCAATGGAGAGAAACTTAAATCAATCTCACTGAAATCAGGGACAAGACAAGGCTGCCCACTCTCTCCATATCTCTTCAACATTGTACTTGAAGTCCTAGCCAGAGCAATAAGACAACTAAAGGAGATCAAGGGGATACAAATCGGAAAGGAAGAGGTCAAAGTGTCACTATTCGCAGATGATATGATAGTATACATGAGCGAACCCAAAGATTCAACCAGAGAACTTCTTCAGCTGATAAACACCTTCAGC